CCCCCAGCCATTTTTCAGGGACAAAATCAAAACTCTGGGCACAGCACAAGTCAACAACATTTGAGCATTCTGGGTTTTCTCTCATGTTCCGGTCCTTTGTCAGAAGGCAATTCCTTTCGCAGGGAAATTGATCCGCGAAGAGTAAATACCAAAACACAATAGCCTTAGTTTTAAGTGTTATGTTTCGTTTGCCCTTATTGTGGATCCCGTTCATTTTGTTGCACAAGATTAAGTCTCTTGAGACCAATGATGGATTTTGAAAAACCATTTGTGTCACGATGCAGGGGAATCAGGCTCTCGTCAATTTTTGGGCAAATGGAGGTGGCAAAATCTTTCAGCTTGTTCATTTGTTTTTCTATCAATGAAAAAAATACCTATCTCAAACTTGAATAGTAGACGAGATATAGAATAGGGTGGGAGTGCATGGTTTCATGGGTAGAATGAGCAAATAAATTCCCCCAAAGTGTGACTTCCATGGCTTAAGGGTCCTTAGAAACTGAACATTTACATTTATATGCTTTTAATCAACATTTTGCAGTAAAATCCACACATAAACAAGTTTTGAATGGGCGTTAGAAGTGTTGAGGCATAAACAAACAAACACACAAACAAACAAACAAACAAACAAACAAACAAACAAACAAACAAAATTCGGTAAAAATTGCCGAACTGGCGGGAAAATGCTAATGTCTTTGATTTCGTTATTTTGACGAGCGCCTGATTTCACCGTGTTGCCTCACATTTCTGAACAAAGAAACATTTGTCTGACACCACAATGCACGTATCTATTATAATTCAGAGTGGCGCCGCTTAGAAGCATTGATTCTAGAGAAAGGGATCTTACAATAAAAGCTTGACATTTCTAAAGAGGAAGCTTCATAAGTAACAGAAAACGGATTAGTGTTACTGCGGCTTTTCCACAAAACATATAGACAACAATCTAACTTTGTCACAAGTTTTCCCAAATCCTGTTAGTCTGTGTCAGTTTTAATGTTTTAACTAAATAAAACGTGTAAGTTGCTGACCCTTTCTGCCTCAAACTCCGACATCTATGGACTGTTCCTACAATCCTTCAAAATTAAGAGGTTTGGGAGCCTCAAGAGCGGCTGAATTGTTTCTTAATTATATTTCTATTCTTGCTTTTCTTCAACATTTACAATTTGATTTTCGACAAAACGTTTCTCAAGCACACGCGCACAGATTAAGAAACTGAAACGAAAGTAAGAATGTTATGCTTGGTACATCTGAATAGCTGGCCGACGAAATCTAGCCTACTCAAACGCTATAATTACATTTGCAAACAACAAACAGAATAATGACAGACAGACTATGTTGACTGACTGTAATATGACTTGAAACTATGCTTCAGTACTCAAAGGTATCGAATAAACAGGGGAGGGGGGTAACAAGTGGTCGCCAAAATTAAT